AATTAGTCATCGGCGCTCGCGAATGAAGAGCGCCCGCTGCACTTCCTGCACATGTGCGGATCCTTCCGCGTTTTGGGGGTGCAAGCGCTCGTTGCGAGCGTTCTTCTTCCGCCGGGTCACGGCTACGCTTGTCTGGGCTTTGTACCAAGCCACCAAGCGCGTGGGAGGGTTGCGAGCATCATCGGTCATCGGCGCCCGCTGCACTTCTTGCACATGTGCAGATCCTTCTGCGCTTTGGGGGTGGAAGCGCTCGTTCCGAGCGTTTTTCTTCTGCTCGGTCACATGTCTGCGCTTGTCTAGACCTATTACCAAGCCAGCAAGGGCGTGTGATGGTTGTAAGTATCATCGGCCATTGGCGCTCACAAATGAAGAGCGCCCGTTGCACTTCCTGCACATATGCGGATCCTTATACGTTTGGGCAGTGGAAGCGCTCGTTCAGAGCGTTTTTCTTCCGCTGGGTCACATGGATGCGCTTGTCTGGGCCTATAACCAAGCCAACAAGGGCGTGGGAGGGTTGCGAGCATCATCGTTCATTGGCGCTCGCGAATGAAGAGCGCCCGCTGCACTTCTTACACATGTACGGATCCTTCCGCGTTTTTGCAGTTGAAGCGCTCATTCGGAGCGTTTTTCTTTCGCTGGGTCACGTGGCTGCGCTTGTCTGGGCCTATTATGAAGCCAACAAGGGCGTGGTAGGTTTGCGAGCATCATCGGTCATCGGCGCTCGTGAATGAAGAGCGCCCGCTGCACTTTTTGCACATGTGTGGATCCTTCCGCGTTTTGGGGGTGGAAACGCTCGTTCCGAGCGATTTTCTTCCGCGTGGTCACGTAGCTGTGCTTGTATGGGCTTATTACCAAGCTTGCAAGGGCGTGGGAGGGTGGTGAGCAGGGTCATCGGCGCTCGCGAATGAAGAGCGCCCTCTGCACTTCCTGCACATGTGCGGATCCTTCCGCGACATCAATGTGGATGCGCTCGTTACGAGCGTTCTTCTTCCGCTCTTTCACGTGGCTGCGCTTGTCTTGGCCTATTACCAAGCCATCAAGGACATGGGAGGGTTGCGAGCTTAATTGGTCATCAGTGCTCGCGAATGAAGGGCGCCCGCTGCACTTCTTGCACATGTGCGGATCCTTCCGCGTTTTGGGAGTGGAAGCGCTCTTTCGATCGGCTGCGCTTGTCTGGGCCTATTACCAAGCCAGCAAGGGCGTGGTAGGGTTGCCAGCATCATCGGTCATCGGCGCTCGCGAATGAAGAGCGCCCGCTGCACTTCCTCCACATGTGCGGATCCTTTCGCGTTTTGGGGGTGCAAGCGCTCGTTGCGAGCGTTTTCCATCCGTCGGCTCATGTGGCTGCGCTGTCTGGGCTTATTACCAAGCCAGCAAGCGCGAGGGAGGGTTGCGAGCATCATCGGCCATCGGCGCTCGCGAATTAAGAGCGCCCGCTGCACTTCCTGCACATGTGTAGATCCTTCTGCGCTTTGGAGGTGGAAGCGCTCGTTACGAGCGTTTTTCTTCCGCCGGGTCACATGGCTGCGCTTGTCTGGGCCTACTACCAAGCGAGCAAGGGCGTGGGATGGTTGCGAGCATCATCGTTCATCGGCGCTCGCGAATGAAGAGCGCCCGCTACACTTCCTGCACATGTGCGAATCCTTCCGCATTTTGGGGGTGGAAGCGCTCGTTCGGAGCATTTTTCTTTCGCCGGGTCACGTGGCTGCGCTTGTCTGGGCCTATTACCAAGAAAGCAAGGGCGTGGGATGGTTGCGGGCATCATCGTTCATCAGCGCTCGCGAATGAAGAGCGCCCACTGCACTTCCTGCACATGTGCGAATCCTTCCGCGTTTTGGGGGTGGAAGCGCTCGTTCGGAGCGTTTTTCTTCCGCCGGTTACGCGGGTGCGCTTGTCTGTGCGTATTACCAAGCCAGCAAGGGCGTGGGAGGGTTGCGAGCATCATTGGTTATCAGCGCTCGCGAATGAAGTGCGCCCGTTGTACTTCCTGCACATGTGCGGATCCTTCCGCGCTTTTGGGCTGGAAGCGCTCGTTCTGAGCGTTTTTCTTCTGCCGGATCACGTGGCTGCGTTTTTTTGGGCCTATTACCAAGCCAGCGAGGGCGTGGGATGGTTGCGAGCATCATCGTTTATCGGCGCTCGCGAATGAAGAGCGCTCGCTGCACTTCTTGCACATGTGCACATCATTCGGCGTTTTGAGGTTGGAAAAGCTCGTTCCGAGCTTTTTTCTTCCTCCGGGTCACGTGGCTGCGCTTGTCTGGGCCTATTACCAAGCCGGCAAGGGCGTGGGAAGGTTGCGAGCATCATCGGTCATCGGCGCTCTCGAATAAAGAGCGACAGATGCACTTCCTACACATGTGCGGATCCTTCCGCGTTTTGGGGCTGGAAGCGCTCGTTTAGAGCGTTTTTCTTGTGCCGGATCATGTGGTTGCGCTTGTGTGGGGCTATAACCAAGCTAGCAAGGGCGTGGGAGGGTTGCAAGCATCATCGGTCATCGGCGCTCGCGAATGAAGAGCGCTCGCTGCACTTCCTGCACATGTGCGTATCCTTCCGCGTTTTGGGGGTGGAAGCGCTCGTTCCGAGCGTTTTTCTTCCGCTGTGTCACATGGCTATGCTTGTCTTGGCCTATTACCAAGCCAGCAAGGGCGTGGGAGGGTTGCGAGCATCATCAGTTATCGGCGCTCGCGAATGAAGAGCGCCCGCTGCACTTCCTGCACATGTGCGGATCCTTCCGCGTTTTGGGGGTGGAAGCGCTCGTTCCGAGTGGCTGCGCTTGTCTGGGCCTATTACCAAGCCAGCAAGGGCGTGGAAGGATTGAGAGCATCATCGGTCATCGGCGCTCGCGAATGAAGAGCGACTGCTGCATTTTCTGCACATGTGCGGATCCTTCCGCGTTTTGGGGATGAAAACGGTCGTTCCAACCGTTCTTCTGTTCGGTCACGCGGGTGTGTGCGTTCGGACCTTCAGGGTTTAGAGTTTAGCTTTCCTCCGTCCTTGCCGCTTTACACTTGCTAGATTCCAAGTTCCTGTTTTTTAGTTCTACTTCCCACTCAAGCAATTCGTAAAAATGTCGGAGATACGGAGTTGTGGTGTCTCTTTGACTGTAGACACCTCTGCATGGACAGTTCTAACGTCTTTCAAGACTACTTACTGGTACAATAAGCATCCTGTCTCAGTGTGCTCAGATGGCCCAGCATAGTTAAATGACATTGTATTGTCAACCGCACAGAGGGGTGCATGTATGTGCTACTTGCAACATGTGTCCTTACCCAAAGCCAAATACCTTGAGGCCTTCAGGTCAGGTCAGTAAAATGCTCACAACTACCGTATCACACAATCAAGACAAGACAGAATAATCGTCCAGGGCTGCTCTCGGTCAAAACATCCGGTGGGGGAATGCACGACTAAATACAAGACTCCCAACTCAGCGGTTGGGCTGACAGCAAGTAGTGCTGAGGAGTAAATACATACACATGTCATCTCCATTTGGAAGGAGCACTGGTACCTTATTTCTCCTTGAGAGCCGCAATCTGTTTCTTAAGAGCCTCTTTCCGTTTCATGTTTTCATACAGCTTGGCCTGGTACCCCGTCAGGTCTGTCTTCTCCTTCTCCTCCTGCGGAGGAGGCTTCTTCCGTGCTGCATGTGCACTCTGGGGCAGAGCCAATGCGCCGAGAAGTGCCGCCCCAGACACAGCCACAAGCGCCCTGCAGCGGCATGAGGAAGTGATTCACGTTAATGACCTTGCCAAAATTCCTGGGGCAAAATTTATGAGGGGTATATTGCTCTTCTAACGATGCGTGCGCTATTGAGGTGGAATGCTCAAGTCGAGAGACTATCTGACACAGATTAGAGGGGTCGTGGGGGTGGGGGAAGAAGGCTACTAAAAGAGCGTTACCTTCTGGTAGTGACATCCTCGTTTGAAGCCTGACACCTCCATCCAACGATCCGTTGACTGGCAGGTGCCGGACGCACGGACTTGGCTTCCAGCCGAATTCCAGCGAGCTCTGGCACCGTCAGCGTCGTGCAAGCCGGCGTGGAAACAAGGATAGACGCGGCCATGATTGGAAAATTTGGCGTTACGCCGACAGCTGAACTAGGAACCAGTGCGCCTGGGAGGGTAAGCGCGGTCTAACCAAGAGCGCTTAAACAGGAGTTAGAGGGTGAGCGAAGATCAATGGCTGCAAAAACATTTTTGCTTGTAAATAGGCACGAGCTGAAGCAAAATGCTCCAGTAGAATGTGAATTCCGAGCCACGTCAACCGAAGCCTAGTCAGCCGAATCTATGGGATTTGGCGGGAGAATATATGCTGCTGTCGTGGCGCAATCTTTGTACTGATTGACGTGGACCAAGTAGCTGTTGACATGGTGTTGACGCGGACTATGGTGTCAACTGAGTGTCCAGCTGATTACGCACTTTCCAGTGTGCATTCATCGAAAAAATCCGCGATAAGGGAGGCCCTCCACACATACCAGAATGGAGTAGAGTCACAATGTCTCAGTCGTATTCTTTTGTTGCCTCTTCTTGTTTTTTGCAGTAATGCACTATTACCAGCATGCGCCAATTAATCTAACTATCCTAATGTTTCAGTGGAAAGTATAAAATCGATTACAGAGGGAAAATATCAGTGGCGGGTATGACCGTATCATAGGTAAAAATGCATTACAATGTACGATAGTCTTAACAGTTTTCCAGTTCACTTGTCTATTTTCGCTTACAGCTTGAATGTGTTCCTCGATAACATACTCGCATTGCAGGCCTCTTGGTTGAAAGAGCATCTGAATCTGACGAGACGCAGCAAGACCCAAGCTTCCAGCTTCCTCCGCTGCTATTATCCTGCCTGCCTGCTCGCCTGCTCGCCTCCTCGCCTGCTCGCGTCAGGTTATTCGATCCACTTGCTCGCGAATTTCCACGGATCGGATCTCGGAAAACGTTGTGATCTTCGCAAGTGCAATTATTGACCTGAGCTTTTTCTAAGGTTTCGCCATGGCGGGAATGGGAATGATGGTAAGTGAATCTGCAACAGCGAAGCGCTTACCAGCTAGCAGGCTGACGGTGATCTCGAAGATCGATAGGCGTAGTCTGATTTCCTTACTCGCAGTTGGGCTGTCTCAAGTGATTATGCTATCGGGTGAACGACAATTCAGGATTTGGGGTATCAGGGCTCACGGCTCAGGCGCTTAAGGCTCAGGGCTCACGATGTGCGCTGTTAGGATCAGTGAGCTTGCCGATTTGTTAGATTTCATATCACTTGACTCGCCTCTTTTCCCTTGTCGCCCTTGCCTTTGTCCGATCTTCCATCTGACACCCAACAGCAACCGCAGATCATCCTCCTTAAAGACGGAACCGATACTTCGCAAGGCAAGCCGCAGCTGATCAGCAACATCAACGCGTGCCTAGCTGTCGTGGACACGATCCGCACGACGCTGGGTCCACGTGGCATGGATAAGCTGATCCACGACGAGCGCGGCAACACCACCATCTCCAACGACGGAGCAACCATCCTGAAGTTGCTCGAGATCGTGCATCCCGCCGCGAAAACCCTCGTGGACATCGCCAGATCGCAAGACGACGAGGTACGTCCGAGGTGGTTTGATTTGATGTGCGGCCAGTGTGTGGTTATGATATGTTGCTAGTGGTTCAGGTCTGTTACCTTTTCTCTAGGAGTCATTTGGCGGCGAAAACCCCGACAAACTTGCCAGATCCGTAAGATCGCCAGAGGTTTAAGCGAGGGAGGGGGATTTAGACAAAGGAGGGGAATTTGGGTGAGGGAAGGAGGGTAGGCGAGGGACGGGAGACTTGTCGACCGCCATCCTGCGTTTGACTCAGAATTCGCGGCGACTGATTTGGGATTCGCCTTATACCGACTGAGGATTTGCCTGCGACTGACTGAGAATTCGCCTGCGACTGATTTCGAATTTTCCTTCGAGATGGTTACCGGGGGATAGGGGATGGGGTGAGAGCGGATGAATGGTAAAGGGACTGGTTAACTGTCAGTGTGAGCGGATTGGTTGGATACATGCAACCGAACCGAGATTTTCCCTGCGGCTGACTCGGAATTCTCCCGGCCCTCTTTTCACACCACCTCTCTTCTTAGACCCTTCATCAGGTGGAAGAATGCCCGCCTGACGACACTGACACTACTGGCAGGCGAGTTCCTGCGGCAGGCCAAGCCGCCTCTCTTGCTGTGTTGTTCCTCTCTCATTGCTTCCCTCTTCGCTTCCCACACCGGCCTTCTTTTCCTTCCACCCATCAGGTGGGCGATGGCACGACGACGGTCACATTGCTGGCAGGCGAGTTCCTGCGGCAGGCCAAGCCGTTCGTGGAGGATGGGGTGCATCCGCAGCTCATCTGTCGCGCCTTCCGCGCGGCTGCGCGCCTGGTAAGCGCCCTGGCCCTGACCTTTTGCTGGTAAGAGCCCGTGCCGTCTAGCTGTTTCTCGTTCCGCGCACGCATGAGAGCAGATCGAACAAGTGTGCGGTTTTTGAGGGGGGTCAAAACTGTCGAATCTTCTTAAATGCACGCGTTTTCTTGCTGCTTTTGCCTTCTGCTGACCAACCAGGCCGTGGAGAAGGTTAGAGAAGTTGCGATCTCCATTGAAGGCAAGGGCGACGAGGAGAAGCGGGAGCTGCTGCGCAAGTGTGCGGCGACCACGCTGAGCTCCTCCTTTTCTCTTGTTCTCCCACTGTGTCTCCTGGTGTTGCCGACTCCTATGGTTTGGACAGGCGGTTGAGAAGGTCAGAGAAGTGGCGATTTCGATCGAGGGCAAGGGCGACGAGGAGAAGCGAGAGCTGCTGCACAAGTGTGCGGCGACCACGCTGAGCTCGAAGCTGGTGGGCGGCGAGAAGGACTTCTTCGCGCGCATGGTGGTGGACGCCGTGTGCAGCCTTGATGAGGACGTACCCCTGCACATGATCGGCATCAAGAAGGTGTGTGTAGGGGGAAGACGGGGAGAAGAGAGGGGGAAGGACGGGGGGAATTTGCGGGAAGGAGGGTTGAAGACGGGGGGGAAATCTCAGGAGCAGCCATGTTCGGGAAGCCGCTAGGTGGGGGTAGAGCTGAGCTCGAAGCTGGTGGGCGGCGAGAAGGACTTCTTCGCGCGCATGGTGGTGGACTCCGTGTGCAGCCTTGATGAGCATGTTCCGCTGCACGTGATCGGCATCAAGAAGGTGCGATGCACACCTTGATATCCCAGCACTCATGAGGGGACAGGATGCAGAGAGGTGTGTCTTCGCGCGCATGGTGGTGGACGCCGTGTGCTCCCTGTACGAGGACGTGCCGCTTCACATGATCGGCATTAAGAAGGTGGGGGAGGGTGGGATAGGCAGGAGGGCACTTGAGTAGAGAGGCTGAGTTGAGTGTGCCCGCCCGACTTGGGCGTGCCACCCACGCTGGCGCACCTGCTTCCCCCCCCCCCACCATGCATCCCCTCCCTCGCAGGTCCCAGGAGGGTCAATGCGAGACTCCTTCTGATGATGGACGTCGCGTTCAAGAAGACCTTCGCCTATGCGGGTTTCAAGCAGCAGCCCAAGCTATTCCATCCCTTTCCCCATGTATCCTCTCCCCTCTCTCTCAGGTTCCAGGCGGGACAATGCGGGACTCCTTCCTGGTAGAGGGAGTGGCCTTCAAGAAGACCTTCTCCTACGCGGGCTTCGAGCAGCAGCCCAAGCGATTCGAGTCCCCCAAGATCCCATTTCTGAATATCGAGCTGGAGCTCGAGTGAGAAGGAGAACACACAAGCAGCGACCCCAGGATCCCCCCTTCTGACTCAACTACCTGGCATACCCACCCACTCTGACGCTCCTGCTTTTTTTCCTTCCCCCATCCATCACCTGTCAGGTCCCAGGTGGGACAATGCGGGACTCCTTCCTGGTAGAGGGAGTGGCCTTCAAGAAGACCTTCTCTTACGCGGGCTTCGAGCAGCAGCCCAAGCGATTCGAGTCCCCCAAGATTCTCCTCCTGAACATCGAGCTGGAGCTGAAGAGTGAGAAGGAGAACGCGGAGGTGCGGCTGTCGGACCCATCGCAGTACCAGTCGATTGTGGACGCGGAGTGGAATATCATCTACTCCAAGCTGGACAAGTGTGTGCAGAGCGGGGCAAAGATTGTCCTGTCTCGTCTCGCCATCGGCGACCTGGCAACCCAGGTGAGCAGGGGAATTCAGAGGTGTGGGTGTCGGGCTTTCTCCGCCGCAGTACTAGTCGATCGTGAACGCTGAATGGAGTATCAAACTCCAAGCTGGACAAGTGCGTGCAGAGCGGGGCGAAGATCGTGCTTTCCCGCCTCGCGATCGGCGATCTGGCCACTCAGGTAAGGATGGGAATGGGGGAGCAGAGAGAGGGAGCAGAGAGGTGAGATGGGAGTGTGGCAGTGGACGCGGAGTGGAATATTATCATCTCCAAGCTGGACGAGTGTGTTCAAAGCGGTGCCAGAATTGTGCTGTCGAGGCTCGCGATGGGGGATCTTGCCACTCAGGTGAGCAGAGAGGGGGAAGGGGAGGGGGGGAACTGGGGAATGTGGCAGTGGACGCGGAGTGGAACAGCATCTACTCCAAGCTGGACAAGTGTGTGCAGAGCGGCGCCAAGATCGTGCTTTCGAGGCTCGCCATTGAGGGGAGGAGGGGAGAACCAGGTGTGCGTAGAGTGGGGGAAGAGGGGAGAACCAGGTGTGCGTAGAGTGGGGGAAGAGGGGAGAACCAGGTGTGCGTAGAGTGGGGGAAGAGGGGAGAACCAGGTGTGCGTAGAGTGGGGGAAGAGGGGAGAACCAGGTGTGCGTAGAGTGGGGGAAGAGGGGAGAACCAGGTGTGCGTAGAGTGGGGGAAGAGGGGAGAACCAGGTGTGCGTAGAGTGGGGGAAGAGGGGAGAACCAGGTGTGCGTAGAGTGGGGGAAGAGGGGAGAACCAGGTGTGCGTAGAGTGGGGGAAGAGGGGAGAACCAGGTGTGCGTAGAGTGGGGGAAGAGGGGAGAACCAGGTGTGCGTAGAGTGGGGGAAGAGGGGAGAACCAGGTGTGCGTAGAGTGGGGGAAGAGGGGAGAACCAGGTGTGCGTAGAGTGGGGGAATCAGGACATCTTCTGTGCGGGGCGCGTGGCAGAGGATGACATGCAGCGCATGGCAGAGGATGACATGCAGCGCATGGCAGAGGATGACATGCAGCGCATGGCCAAGGCTACTGGAGGGGCTGTGCAGACCACCTGAAGGAATGAACTCTTTTTCACACCCTCTCTTCCTTCTTCCCCCTCCCTCTCCCCCCTCCTCCCCCTGGCAGTACTTTGCGGATCGGGACATCTTCTGTGCGGGGCGCGTGGCAGAGGACGACATGCAGCGCGTGGCCAAGGCTACAGGGGGAGCCGTGCAGACCACTGTGAACGACCTCATCCCTGATGTGAGTGCTCCCGTGTGTGTGGTGCAATACGGGGATGCCTCTCCTCTCTGCTGCCACCACCACTTCTTGCACATTCTTCCAGTGCCTTTGGTGCAATTGTAACATTTGGGATGTCATCCACTGCTAGCTAACTACCGCGCACCCTTCCCAACCTCTTCTCCCCCGCTTCCCCGCCTTTCCCTTCCCACCTCCAATCCCCCTCCCTTCTTATGTCTGGCGCAGGTTCTCGGAAGCTGCGCGCTGTTTGAGGAGAGGCAGGTGGGCAACGAGCGGTACAACCTCTTCACTGGCTGCTCCAACGCCAAGACTGCCACCATCGTGCTGCGAGGAGGGGCGGACCAGGTGGGTGGATGGGGGGTGATGAGGCAGGAGAGGAATGTATGGCGGTGAATGGCAGCGAATGGCAGCGATGTGGGCAGGTAGGCAGGTGGGCAACGAGCGGCACAACCTCTTCACCGGCTGCTCCAATGCCAAGACCGCCACCATTGTGCTGCGTGGAGGAGCAGACCAGGTGGGTGCTGCTTTGCTGGACAGGGAAGGACCGGCAGAGGGAAAGTAGTGATGTGGGTGGGTGTGAGGCAGGTGGGCAACGAGCGGTACAACCTTTTCACCGGCTGCTCCAACGCCAGGGAGGGGGTGGACAAGGTGTGAGTACTGAGCGTGAGGCTTCTCCTCCTCACAACCCCCCATAGCATGGCGCCTCCTCCTCACAACCCCCCATAGCATGGCGCCTCCTCCTCACAACCCCCCATAGCATGGCGCCTCCTCCTCACAACCCCCCATAGCATGGCGCCTCCTCCTCTCAACCCCCCATAGCATGGTGCCTCCTCCTCACAACCCCCCATAGCATGGCGCCTCCTCCTCACAACCCCCTATAGCATGGCGCCTCCTCCTCGCAACCCCCCATAGCATGGCGCCTCCTCCTCACAACCCCCCATAGCATGGCGCCTCCTCCTCGCAACCCCCCATAGCAGGGCGCAACTGCGACCCTTCCTCTCCACCCTTTCCCTCCACCCTTCCTCTTCCCCTCCCTTTCTTTCAGTTCGTAGAGGAAGGGAACGCAGTCCGCACGATGCCATCGTGATCGTGAGGCGAGCTGTGGTGAACACAAGTGCACACGTTTTCCCTCTCCCCCCCACTCCCCTCCCCCGCTGTCCTCATTTGTTCCCTCCCTTCCGTTCATAGAAGAGGCAGAGCGCAGTCTGCCCGATGCCATCATGATTGTGACTCGAGCTAAAGTGCACCCCTGCCCTTTCTCTCCTTTTCTCCTTTCTTCACATTTCCTTCCCCCATGCAGTTTATCGAGGAAGCAGAGCGCAGCCTACACGATGCCATCATGATTGTGAGGCGCGCGATCAAGAACGCTGCAGTGGTGCCAGGGGGAGGTGCCATTGATGTACGTGCCGTCTTTGTCCTTTCTGGGGGAGGTATTACTGATGTACTTAGGTCGAGTCTGGTGAGCCATCTCCAAGTCGTCCCAGGCCTCCATGACCACTCACCTCCCCCGTACTCTCCTCTACTCACATGCATGTCCCCTCTATTCTCCCTATCCCCTGCTCCTGCAAACCAGTTACTTATTAATTTTATTTTTTTATATTATTCCAACCTACCTTTTTTTTGTCAGATTGAGATCAGCCGTCACCTGCGTCTGCATGCGCGCACCACAGCGGGCAATCAGATTCTCTTATTCCCATTCACCTCGCTCTCTCTATCTCCTTCTACATGCCTTCCCTCCACTCCACCTCCCCATCAGATGGAGATCAGCCGTCACCTGCGTCTGCATGCGCGCACCATAGCGGGCAAGCAGCAACTTTTCATCAATGCATATGCGCGCGCGCTGGAGGTGGGTGGCATAGAATTTGAGTAATGGTGGGGTGCGGTTGTGTGCGGTGGTGGCGGGGGCAGGTACATGGCATTGACAATGATCTCTGCAGCAGTTTGCCCCCTCTTGTGCTGTCCTCCGTATGCCTCATGGTGCCTCATCCTCTGCCCTCGCTTTTTCTTCATCCTCTCTCATTTGTGTGATTATACACAGGTAATTCCACGCCAGTTGTGTGACAATGCAGGGTGCGACTCCACTGACATTCTCAACAAGCTCAGGCAGAAACACGCCCTACTTTTGGGTTTGCTGCTCTTGCTCTCAGCTAATCATTCTGAGGCATTCTCTTCTTTCCTTGTATCTTCTGCCTTCCCCTGCAACCCTCACGAGTGCAGGTGATTCCACGCCAGTTGTGTGACAATGCTGGGTTTGACTCCATTGATGTGCTAAACAAGCTCAGGCAGAAACACGCCCTGCCTTCTGGTGAGTGGATTTTCAATTTGTCCATTCTAACTTTCACATACGTCCGAGAAATTGAACAAACAATTCCTTTTTTCTGGTGCCGATGATATTGTGCTGTTGCATTCGAGAAATCTGAGAGTTGCGCACGTGGTGCCTTGTGGTTCTTGACCGTTGATGCAGGCGAGGGGCAGCGTTTTGGAGTGGATGTGAATTCAGGTGGCATTGTCGACACGTATGCATCGTTCGTCTGGGAGCCAATTGTGGTCAAGGTGAGTCAATGCTGGTCAAGGGGAGTCAATGCTGGTCAAGGTTAGTCAACACTGGTCAATGCGAGTTTATTTCGGTCAAAGTTATATTTTGTAGTCAGCTTGAAGCGTGCTTATGAATAACAGGTGGGGTATGAGTACTGCTCTCCACAAACAAACCCACGTTTCTTCCTCCCCACTCCGTCTCTGCCCCTCCCTCAGGTGAATGCCATCACAGCAGCAACCGAGGCATCCTGTCTTGTGCTCAGTGTTGACGAGACAGTTCGCAACCCACGAGTGAGTTGGGGGGGAGGGGGAGGGGGTAATGAGGCTTATCTTTTGAAAAAATCGGAGGGGAAGGGAGGGAAAGGGAAACCACAAGCAAAGTAGATAGTGTTGTTTTGCGTATAGCACAATACTGCTGCTGCTCCTGTGCCATTTTTTCCCCATTTGCATCAATTTACTTCCTGTGCAGTCCGAGGCTGCACAAGACGGTGGAATGGGTGGCATGGGCAGAGGAGGAGGTGGGATGCGAGGGAGGGGCCGAGGCATGAGGCGGCGATAGACTCAATAACTAGTCTCCTTATGTTCTATAGATGTATTGAGATCCAATATGCACGAAATATCCTACTTTGTAGTACAGTTGATAACCTAGGTGGTGCTTATGCATCCATCGCATAAGTGTCTTGCTTCAAATTTGACAAGAATTGCTTAGACAGGGTTCCGTGAGAAGCAAGTCTATGAGTTTTGCCTTACGCTGAGCTTCGCAAATGGCACCTGCTGGTTTCCAGGCATCCCGTCGCAGGTGCTTTTCGCCGCGCAGCTTGCCCTCCATCCCGAATCGCTAGCTGCTGGCTCCGTTCTTCGCGACTTGCGCCAGATTTTCCACTTCTCGCTTCGATCAATTCCAAACAAGAGGCATGTCCTGCCACCTGGGCAATGGACTGAGGGGGAGGCGGAACACATCTGCAGCATTCCCCCAGGGCCTTGGTCGCTCTCGCGCGCGGAGCGGAGTGAACACCTCCGAGTATCTGGCTCGAAAAGCACATCAAGCCTGGCGGAAAAAGTCTAGGGAGTCCGGGCGCTATTCTTTCGGGGCGGAACTGCAATTGGGCAAGCAGTTTTCAAGGAGTGTGCTTATTGGTTTGAAGGCCCTATTTCTGGATGCGATGGTTTAGCTAAACATTTATGGAGCTTAGGAAAGTGGAGCTTATTGAAATTGTGAACTAACTTGTGAGACTTTGCTACTTGGAAATGAATCATTCGTTTGCGTGACACTGCTCTCCCTTCACGTGATTGGGATCATCCTGAGCTTCACTCTCCCTTATCCGCTGTCGGATACTATTCCTCTGCGTGGTGTTCCATTCCAATCCAGCCCTAATTTTGCGGCGATTCCTTCGCTTTCGAGAAATGTTACAACGCGGCTTGGATACTACAATGGCGCGACCTATATCGTTATAGACCGCGGAGGCTTCGTAGAACTTTCATAAACGTCCGAATAGCGGCAATCTATCATGCCGCTCAACTTTATTCACTGTAGCATTTAGAAACATTTCCGTCTAATCTCGGTATCGCGACCCTTGCGGAGGGTCGCTGGTCAACTCGGGAAAGCAGCCATGCTCAAGCGGTTGATAGCCAAGGCCTTACCCGAGGTGTGTAGTCTATAAGTGACAAGGAAAGTCGGAATGCTACTTAACTATCAGAAGGAGTGTAGCTAACTAGTCGGTGGGTAGCGTCGTAAGGCAATGGCTGGCCAAGGAAGCAGTTTTGCCCTCCCGTCAATGCCCCGTAGCAAGTGCGAAACCCTAACATCGTTTCTTTCAAGACATAGCACCTGCGCTCGTTTTCCCGCATTCGTTCGTGTGACATTGTAGGTTTACAAATCGCGTGGTCACTGACTGTTTTTTCCTCCTCGGAGCGACAGATCGGCAGGCGCAGCAGATTGTGGTTCTAGGCCATTTTAGGGTTTCCTTTATCGTAGTTCTTACAGCAATGTCGGTAATATCGAAGCCGTCCGTAGCGCTATCCAATCCAGCTCTGGCCTGTAACCCTAATTCGAAGAGTCATTAATACTCTCCCCCGATACGCGCAGTCTAGCTGACACTAATGCAGGTTCTAGTTCCTTCGCGAATGCAGTTTGTACGGAGCTCTGCGTTTGTAGCTCATGACTGAGTATTAGCCTCAACGTTACAGTCAATATATCTCTGCATTCAGTCTCTTCCAATGATAAATTGTTGGAGACACAGCTTTATCGCATTAGCCTATCTAGCTCCGTCAATGTCCGTCGAAGCCTGGTGTTGCGCCCCGTTATAGAGTAGCGCGATATCGTTTTTCGATGAACCTCAGCTTCGCCGACGCAGTGTTTTCGTTTTTCTACTGTACAAGAACCAATGTGGCCCAGGAAGAGAATGCTGCTCGTAACAATGTGAGAATCCCTAACCTCGCCTCGTTATAAGCAGCATTCTCTGAACTCGCCTCGTTACAAGCAGCATTGCCTGACCTCGCCTCGTTATAAGCAGCATCCTCTCACCTCGTTTCGTTACGAGCAGTACCCTCTCACCTCGGCGTAAGACCGCGCTCAGAAGTCCTACTTCGTTTGCCATCTCGACATTTGCCTGGGATAATTCTCCTAGGGTTTCTCGACTGATGCTGTCCGATCAGACCCGTGCAACACGGCGCGCCTGGCGCTGCGCTTCCTCACACGCACATTCCGTTTTCCCATCCTCGCCAATTCCCCGCCTCTCCATCTCCCCAACACTCATCCTGCTCTGCAAATCTCCCCCCCCTCATTCCCGGTCACTCTCCCCCGCTCACCACCCCCTCAGCACAGTCGTCCCGTTTTTCTCCCCCTCCCCAACCCCCCTCCCCCCTTCCCCCTCCCCTCTCCACCCCCACTCGTTTTCCCGGCCAGTCCGTGCCTGCGGGGAGCCTGAGAGCGGCGCATCTCGAGCCGCGGCTGGCCGTGCATCACGGCGTGCCTGGCGCTGCTTCCGTGCTCGCCTACGATCCCGTGCAGCGGCTGCTCGCAGTGGGAACGCGGTAAGGGAACTCCGATACAAGTGTTAGGAAGGAGCGCGTATAGAGAGTGCAGCGGCTGCTGGCAGTGGGGACGCGTGTAGAGAATTCCGATATAAGCATTAGGATGAGCTCGTATAGAGGGAATGCTGGGGTTGCTTGCAGGAAAAAGGGATTACAGGCAATGCAGGGCCGGCCGTGTATGCCTCGCCTATGCTCCCTCCAGTGCAGCGGCGGCTGCTGGCAGTGGGGGCGAAATGGGGGATATGGTGGTGGTGGTGTGGAGGAGAAAGCTAAGGAGGCAAGCAAGAAACTGGAGGATGAGGTTGTGTGTGTGTGTGGTCTCCGCTGGCGATTCCGTGGTGGGGACGCATCGAGGAATGGCCCATGGCATGGCATGGCATGGCAACATGATGGTATGATGGTTTTGATGGTATATGGCATGATGGCGTGACGTTCAAAGGCCTGTTCTTGTCCCTCCACCACCCCCCTTTCCCCTCAAATCCCACCAGGGATGGGCGCATCAAGGTGTTCGGGAACGATGGCATCGAGGCGCTGCTCTGCTCGCCTGCCCATGTGACATCCAACCATCTCTTCCCTTCCCTCTTTCCTCCCAATGGACTCTCCTCTCCCCCATCCCCTCAAAATCCCTCCCCCACTCCCCACTGGGGATGGGTGCATCAAGGTGTTCAGGCACGATGGCATTGAAGCTCTGCTCGCCTGCCCATGTGACATCCAACCATCTCTTCTCTTTCCCATCTCCTCTCCACCCACTCCCCCCCCACTCCCCACCAGGGATGGGCGCATCAAGGTGTTCGGGCATGATGACATCGAGGCGCTGCTCTGCTCCCCTGCCCATGTGACATCCAACCATCTCTTCCCTTCCCCCTCTCCACCCACCTCCTCCCAGGGATGGGCGCATCAAGGTGTTTGGGCATGATGGCATCGAGGCGCTGCTCTGCTCGCCTGCCAAGGCCGCCTGCAAGTTCCTCGAGGTCAGCACCGTTCTGCACCTTACCGCACCTTCACGCACCTTCTCTTCTCTCCCTTTGCCGCCTCAGTGAACCACGGGGTTGCCTCAAAAGTAACTTAAGTGAGCACCTGTAAGCACATTCCATTCCCCGAATTCACTGCCTGCTCAACCTCCTCCTTCTCCCCAGCCCCCCTTCTCCACCTCTCTTCCGCCCCACCCTCAGAGAAGTCATCATGCTTGTTCTCCTCACTTCACCGCCTTCGCCTTCCCTCTCTTTACTGCCTGCTCCATCTTCTCCTCCTCCAGAGCCCGTCTTCTCCACCTCTCCTCCGCCCCACCCTCAGAGAAGTCATCATGCCTATTCTCCTCACCTCACCACCTTCGCGTCCCCTTGTTGTATCTTCTCCTCCCCTTCCTCCCCCTCACAGTTCGTCTGTAACTCCGAGTACATGGTGCAGATCACCTTTTTCAACGCCATTGAGGTGTGTAGATGTGCATGTGGGTGTGTGGATGGGTCTGTATGTGTCGGTGTGTGCATGACAACTCCGAGTACATGGTGCAGGTCACCTTTTTCAACGCCATTGAGGTGCGTAGATGGATGGATGTACATGTGGGTGTGTGGTGTGTGCATGCACGTATATGGGCGTGAGTCTGAACGTGCATGCATGCCATGGTGCAACTCGGAATGCATGGTGCAGGTCACAGTGTTTAACGCCATTGAGGTGCGTGGGTGGATGTGCATGTGGATGTGTGCATGTGGATGAGTGCATGTGTATGTGTGCATGTGGATGTGTGCATGTGGATGTGTGCATGCCTGTGCTGCTGTGCGTGGGCATGTATGTGCATGTGGTTGGGTGCATACCATAAACCGTTGGGGTGGTTCTTCTACCATTGAGGTGCATGGCTTGTTAGGTGGGTCGTTCTGGCTGCCTATGCCAGCATGCATGTGTTTGCACGCCTGTGTGCATAAAATCGTGAGCAACTGTGTGAGTATGTGTGAACAAGCGTGTGTTTCCTTCTTCCCCCCCTTCCTGCCTACTCAGATCTGGAGTCTGGCTGAGCGTCAGATGACAGACTCGCTGCAGTGGGACGTCGTCATCACCTCATTCCCCCTTCCTCCCTGCTCCTTCCCTTCCCTCCCTCCTTCCCTCCTTCCCTCCTTCCCTCCTTCCCTCCTCCTTCCCCTCTTCCCTTCTTCCCTTCCCCAACCCCATGCGTGCAGATCTGGAGTCTGGCGGAGCGACAGATGACAGACTCGCTGCAGTGGGATGTGGTCATCACTGCCTTCTCCACCGTCCCCGACACACGCTTCCTGTAAACCACAGTTGTCACAACCTTCACACAACCTTGACACCACCTTCACACAACCTTGACACCACCTTGCATCCCTTTTGTCACCACCACCATCACACCACCCCCCTCCTTGTCATCACCGCTTTCTCCACCGTCCCAGGCACACGCTTCCTCTAACCATCTTACCGCTCACTTCCTGTAACCATCTTGCCGCCCACTTCCTGTAACCATCTTGCCGCCCACTTCCTGTAACCATCTTGCCGCCCACTTCCTGTAACCATCTTGCCGCCCACTTCCTGTAACCATCTTGCCGCCCACTTCCTGTAACCATCTTGCCGCCCACTTGTATCCACCACCACTCCACCTTGCATCCTTCCTGTAACCACGCTCATCCACCACCATCGCATCACATCCGTCTGCATCCAGTCTGTGCGCCTGTGCCACGCATTCCCCATCTTTCATCCTTCCCCTGACCAATTGATTACGGTCGTTATTATCTACTCCGCCGCACACCGCTCCCTCCCATCGCAGCTATGTGGGCGACGAGAACGGCGTCTTCCACGTGTTGGAGCTGGATGGGGGGCGGCTCAACAAGCGCCCCTACTCCGTGCCTCCCTATGTCACCATGGGTGAGTGAGAAACCGTGAGGTTTATTATCAAGTGAATGCTTCAGTGCATAGCGGGTCAACTGTTTTAGAGTGGTCTCGCCAACTCACTCCAACTCCCTCGCGCTCCCACCTTCCCTGCTTCCTAACCCCCATTCCTTCCCCCCCAACCCCATCCCCTGCCCCCTGCCCTCCCACCCCTCCCAGCGGGTCTTGTGAAGCAGGAGTCGACACACATGCCAGCCCTCATCGCCATCCTTCCTCAACCTGATGGCCATCAGAACTATCACCTCCCCCTCCCCCCCTCCCCCCTCCCCCCTCCCCCCTCCCCCCTCCCCCCTCCCCCCTGCCCTCCCACCCCTCCCAGCGGGTCTTGTGAAGCAGGAGTCAACACACGTGCCAGCGCTGATAGCCATTCTCCCCCAGCCCGAAGCCCTCCACACGCGAGTCCTCCTCGCCTACTCCAACTCCCTCGCGCTCCTCTGGGACCTCCACGCCCTGCGCGTGCTCGCCACGCGCGGCGGCTCCGAGACACAGTGCACGCGCCTCTCCGAAGCGGGCGACCGCCTCGCAGACCTCCAAACAGGCAGGCGAAACGTCCCGAAGCCCACGGATGAGGATGAGGAGGATGACGAGGAGTGTGATGGGCCTGAGCTCTCGTGCTTGTGCTGGGCGTGCCCGGCCGGATCGGTGTTTGCTGCTGGGTATAGCAACGGAGAGATTGCGCTCTGGGGATTGCCGCACCCGTCATTACCCGTAGGGGGGGGGATGGCAGCAGCGGGAGCAGCGGGCTCAGGGGGAGCAATGGGATCCATGGGATCATTGCCACTGTCCGGGTCTCTTTCCTCGTCTGCTCCGCTGATCTCGCTGTCGTCGCCGTCTGGCGGGTGGTTGGTTGCGCCGATCTCGCCGTGCACTGTGAAGGCGCTTGCGGAGGAGATTACATCGCAGCCGTTGGTTCGGCTGCAGGTGCAGGGCGGGAAGGGCGAGCGGTCGGCGATCACGGCACTGCGATGGTGTGCCGATGCGCGGCGCGCAGGGGATAGAGGCGGAGACAGAGGAGAGAGAGGAGACAGAGGAGAGAGAGGAGACAGAGGAGAGAGAGGAGATAACAGAGAAAGAGGAGGGGAGAGATTCACAGAGAGGGGAGGAGGGAGGCTGTATGTGTGTGGGGGAGAGATGCCGGGGCTACCGGGATCAGTGAGTGTGGTGCAGCTGGGGGGGTTAGAGGAGGGCATGAAGGAGAAGGGCATGGTGAAGCTGCCGTGGTTTGGGCCCGTGGCCGATGTCGTGGTGGCACCTAGTGCGCTCGGCAGCACGGTTGCCTCTGCTATTCTCGTCCTCACCTTCCCCGGACAGGTACGTTTGGGGCGACTGAAAAGTCCCCTGAGTTGGGGGGGGGTGTGAGAGGAGGGCATGAGGGAAAAAAGGATGGTGGAGCTGCCATGGTTTGGGCCCGTGGCCGATGTGGTGGTGACGCCTATTGCTCTCGGCAGCACGGTTGCCTCTGCCATCCTTGTGCCCACCTTCCCCGGTCAGGTATATTCTCCCCTAGGCAGATACGGACATTTGAAACACATTCCATGGATAGGCCCCCTTCATGCTCCACCACTTCCTACACCTTCCCACCTCTCGCCATCCCCCCGCAATCCCTTCCCACCTCTCTCCACCCCTTCCCACCCACGCCTCTCCACCAGGTCCACCTATACGACGAGCCGGGCATGGAGCGGCACCTGTGTGCGCGCCTGCTCTCCTCTCCCCGTCGCCCTCCTCCCACATGTCCACTCATCTGCACCCCTTCCCACCCAACCCTCTCCACCAGGTCCACTTATCCGACGAGCCCGGCATGGAGCAGCACCTGTCCCTCTCTCACCGTTACCCACCCCTTCCCACCCCTTCCCACCCCTTCCCATTCCTTCCCACTTCTTTCCGCCCCTCTCCACCAGGTCCATTTATACGACGAGCCGGGCATGGAGTGGCACCTGTCAGCACGCCTGCTCTCCCCTTCGCCCTCCTCCCACACGCCCACTCCGCCCGACCCCGTGGCGTTTGAGAACCCGGGCTCGGCGGTCACCACGGGCAGACTCATGCTCGCGCCCTGGGGCACGCACGCCTCTCACGTGCTCTCCCAGGTGCGTCCTGTGAGATTCTTGTGCTGTCTTTGTGACTCTTGACTGGACTCCAACGTCGCCCTGTGGCGTTTGAGAACCCGAGCTCTGTGGTTACCACAGGTCGGCTCATGCTCGCCCCCTGGGGCACGCACGCCTCTCACGTCCTCTCCCAGGTGAGCCCTTCTGTTGCGCCCAGGTTGTGGTCAGGTGGTGCCGCAGATGATCATCACAGCTGATGGTTCAGGAAGTGACTTAGGTAGTACTCAGGTGGTGCATCAGGTGGTGCCTCAGGTGCTTTCTCAGGTGATGCCTCAGGTGGTGCTCCCATTTATCCAGGTACGCTCAACCTCCTGCCTTATTCATCATGAATCAATCTCACCCTGCATTCTCCTCCTCCCCTCCTTCCCACGTCCCCTCCCTCCTCCCCACGTCCCCTCCTTCCCTCTCCCCATTCCCAGCCGCCCCGTATGTCGCAGACTTGATGCCCCTCAGCTCTCTCCCACGACACCAAGTGGCGTGTGGTGGGGGGTTCTTTCAGTGAGAGCAGCTATAACATGTCATGACCCTGCCTTACCCTTCTCCCCTCCTTGTCTCACCCCTCCCTTCTCAGCTGCCCCGTGTGTCGCAGACCCGCTGTCCCTCGGCTCTTTCCCACGGCACCAAGTGGCCTGTGGCGGGGGGTTCTTTCGGCCAGCAACTGGAGATTTCTCCCGAGGATGGGCTGTGCCTCTACATCTCAGGCCATCACCGCAACCAATGTGCCTCCCTCCTCTCCCTCTCCTCCCTTCTCTCAGCTGCCCCGGGTCTCCCAGACGCGCTGCCCCTCGGCGCTCTCCCACGGCACCAAGTGGCCCGTGGCCGGGGGCTCATTTGGCCAGCAGCCGGAAATTTCTCCTGAGGATGGGCTGTGCCTCTACATCTCAGGCCACCGCAATGGCGTCACTCACGTCTCCGATGTCTCGACTCCCCTCATCGTTCCCCTAGCTTCCGCGCCAGCACACCTGACACAGGTAAGAACCAACCATCAACCATGTCTGTATCATCGTTAATGGTTCTTACCTGATTGGTCGTTCAGACATCGTTAATGGTTAATGACCCAGCACACCTGACACAGGTAAAAACCAACCATCAACCATGTCTGTATCATGTAGAGGTTGGTCCTCTCCCCCCTTCCCTCCTCCTGTCCTCATCCTCCCTGCCCCCCACCCTCCCCACCCCACCCTCCCCATACCCCTTCCCCACCCCTTTCCTCCCCCAATAACAGACGGCGGCAGTGACGTGATGGCTGCGGACTTTTGTGTGGTATCAGTGCTGCTGCTGATGGGGCATGAGGACGGGCTGGTGGAGCTGTGATGCCTAGTCCTCTCCCTCCTCTTTCCCTTTCCTCATCCTCTCTGTCCCGCCCTCCCCATCCCACTCTCCCCACCCACTCCCCCCACCCACTCCCTCCCTCCCACCTCCCATCCTCTCACACCAATCACAGGCGGATGACCAGCCGAGCTACACGGCAGTGACAGCTGTTGACTTTTGTGCCGTGTCAGCACTACTGCTGGTGGGGCACGAGGACGGGCTGGTGGAGTGATGTGACGCCTACTCCTCTCCCTCCTCGCCTCCCTTTCCTCGTCCTCCCCACCCCACCCTCCCCATCTCAACCTCTACCCTCTTTCCCTTTTTCCCCCAATCACAGGCGGATGACCAGCCGAGCTACACGGCAGTGACAGCCGTAGACTTCTGCGCGGTATCAGCGCTGCTGCTGGTGGGGCACGAGGACGGGCTGGTGGAGCTGTTCGAGCTGAGCATGCGGAGGAGGACTCTGTGCTGCCAGATCATCACTGAGAGAGGCGGCTATGAGCAAGGTGCATGCAATGGGGAGAAAGGGAAATGCAGGGGCAGGAGGGTAGGCTAGTTGGTGGGGCATGAGGACGGGCTGGTGGAGCTCTTTGAACAGAGCACGCGGAGGAGGACGCTGTGCTGCCAGATTATCACTGAGCGAGGCGGCTATGAGCAGGGTGAGCGGGGCGTAGGGTAGTATGGTGGGCCAGGATGTAGGCTGGTGGGGAATGTGGAGAGGGAGGTTCAAAGAGGAGGTTTGCAGACCACGGCCCAATCCATCCACGCAGGTGTGGGTGCTTTGCTGTCACCCTCATTCCTGAATCCCACCCCTTCTACCCACCCATTTCCACCCCTTCTTACCGTGTCCCACCACCAGCCACTCCATCTGAGTGCGAGGAGGGCTTTCAGATGGTGGCCCAGTTCCACCAGCACCGAGCCAATCTGCGGCTGCTGTACTCTCACAGACTCACCCCCATTCCCACCCCTCCCCACCCCTTCCCACCACCTCCCATGCCACACCAGCCACACCCAGTGAGTGCGAGGAGGGCTTTCAGATGGTGGCTCAGTTCCACCAGCACCGCGCCAAGGTGCGCAGCGTGGCCCTGGCCACGGGCGTGGGACGCCTAGCAATCGGGGACGACAACGGCATGGTGTCCCTCATCAACCTCGACACCTTCACCCTCATCTGCTACCGCGAACTCCATCCCGGCTCCTCCTCCTCTCCCATCTCCGCGACAGTCTTCGCCGCCCTCCCCGTCCCCTCCACCGATTCCTCCTCCTCCTCCTCTTCCTCTTCTTCCGCGTCGCTCACTTCGGCGTCGTTCCCCTCTTCTACCTCCGCCTCTGGCGCTGTCGCTGCCACTGCCGCGTCTGACGCGACCGCCGCCCGGAGCGCGGCGAATCAGAGGAAGGGGAGCGTGGGGGCGGGCGGCGGAGGGGCGGCGGGCGGCGCGTCGGGGGCGTATGAGACGGTGGTGTATGTGGCGGCGGCCAACACGACAATGACCATTTTGGATGGCACTACTGGGGATGTCGTGGGCGTGGGACCCATGCAGCCCAAACACGCATCTGGCGCTGTCGGCCTGTTCCTCCTTGGTAAGTATTTTCAATCCTCCTTAGCTGAGTGGTAGGCGAACGGAAGGTGGAAGGTGAGTAGCAAAGCAACTGGTGGGCGGCGTATGAGACGGTGGTGTATGTGGCGGCGGCCAACACGACGATGACCATTCCTGGGGATGGCACTACTGGGGATGTCGTGGGTGTGGGCCCCATGCAGCCCAAACACGCGTCCGGTGCTGTCGGCCTGTTCCTCCTGGGTAGGTCCAATAATGAATCCCAGCCAAGCTTGCTAACACTGGGTAAGTTCTTCCATTCTATGCGTGCTTCTTCTGCCAGTGGTAAAGAAATGAAAACCATGTCCTATCTCTCTGGTCGATTCCCAGTTCCCTCTTGACTCCTTTCCACCACCCGCCACCGCTCACAACCGCCCCGCATCGCCCGTTCTCCCTTACAGACCTGATGGGATCCGCGATTCCATCGTTTGGAGGCAAGCTGCCACTCCTCTGGGCCATGCAACAGCCGTCCATGGCCCGTGGTCTCAACCCCCGAGCCTCTGCTGCAGGCTCGGTAGGCTCCCGAACCTCCGATGCTGCCGAACCTGGGGACCCGAGCCTGCGGTCTCCGCACGGGCGAGAGAGGCGCGGGAGTGATGGCGTGGGGCTGAGGGGGGGGGCAGGGGGAGGGGGGGATGGGGAGGGGTATAGGGACGGGCATGGGGGGGCGAATGATGGTGTGGATGGGGGGGAGGAGGGGGGGAGGAGAGGAGGGAAAGGAGGGAAGGAAGGGCGGGTGGGGAAACGGAGCGGTGGAAAGGGGCGGAAATCGAAAACAGCAGCAGGAGAAGGGGTTCTAGAAGATAATGGCTCGCAATCACAAGCCTCTGACCTGCACCCACGCTCCTCCTCCTCACAACAACACCCAGCTGACCCGTCTAAAGCCCCTCATGTGAAGGACGATACAGCAAAGCCTCCCTCCGGGCGGCGAAACCCTAAAAAGCCGCCGTCCGTCACTGTAGACACCACTTCCGCTACCACTGACCCGTCCGCCGCCCCTGCCGCCTCTCTTGGGCCCGAGAACAGTCCAAATTCTGCCGCCCGTGCGGATCCCAGCCCTAGATCCCGGGGCGGCCCGAGAATCAGTATCCAACTAACTGCGGGCGGCAGTCTGAGCTTTAACATTGTCTCTTCTGGGGATGCAGAGGGTGAGGCCCTGCAAGGGGCCCGGGCGGATCAGGAAGGGAATGGGGCGGTGGGAGGAGGAGGAAGGGGGCAGAGAGGCGGAGGGGGATCAGGAGGGAATGATGGTGAGGCGATGTCTATGTCCCTCTCTGCTATCTCGCCCACCAATGCTGGAGCAGTAGCAGCTGCAGGAGGCGCAGCAGGAGGAGGAGGAGGTGGAGGTGGAGGCAGAGAGAAAGGAGGAGAAAGAGGAGGGGGGATGGTGGTATCTCATGGTCCAAGCATGAGTATGGGATCTATAGGCGGAGGGGGAAAAGGGGGAAGAGGAGGAATGGGGTCGGATCTATCCTCCGGTGCTGGTTCAGGTGGCTACTCTGGCTTTGCTTCGGCTCACGACCGGACCTCTGCTATGTTCAAGCGCTCCCTGACCTCTGTCGCAGGCTCGGGGAGTGCGGTTTGGCCCGAGCCTCACTTTGTGCTGCTGGTGTCTGAGGATTGCCTGAGGCTCTATTCCACCATGGTTGTGCTTCAGGTAGGCTCTCTGTTGCTTCAGGTGGGAAGCTTCAGGTGGCTCTCTCTGGCCTTCAGGTAGGCTTTCTGTTGCTTCAGGTGGGAAGCTTCAGATGGCTCTCTGTTGCCTTCAGGTAGGCTTTCTGTCAGGTGGGAAGATTCAGGTGGCTCTCTGTTAGCTTCAGGTAGGCTCTCTGTCGGCTTCAGGTTTGCTGGTTTGATGCATCTGTTGGCATCTTGTGCCTTCCAGCGAAAGTCTCACTCACATGCCCCTCTCCCTACCTGCCTTCCGCCCTCTCTTTCTCCCAACCTCCGGTTCCTAACCTGCTTCCCAACCTGCGATCAGCCCTAAAGCAGGTGAAATCAATTGAGAATGACTGGTGCGTGTGGGCGGGCACGTTGCGAACAGACCCTCTCCTTTCCTTCACTTCCCTTCCCTGTATCAAGGCGGGGCGATCAGCGCTAAAGCGGGTGAAGATCTTTGAGAACGACAAGTGTGTGTGGGCAGGCACTTTGCAAGCCAGTCCCTCTCCTCTTGTTCACCTCCCTCTCCATCCCCCTTTCCCCTCTCCCCCCCTCATAGGCAGAGCGATCAGCGCTAAAGCGGGTGAAGATCTTTGAGAACGACAAGTGTGTGTGGGCAGGCACGTTCGGAGCACACCCGCAGTTCCCCCCTGCCATCATGGTCATCTCGTCCCAAGGGCTAGTTGAGATCAGGTACGGCCTTGCTGCTTGGGGTTGCAGCCTGCCCGTGCTTCCATTTTATTCCTGTACATGCACCGCCTTATTCGCCTTACCCTTTCCTTTCCTTCTCTCTTTCCCTGCCTGACCTGCTGCTGGTGACGCCCACATTGGTGTCAGAGATGCTTGGATGGCAGTAGAACAGTCTTCTCATGCTGCCCCTCATGCTGCATTGCTCTATCACCCATCCATTCATCTCCAGGTCCCTGCCTGACCTGCTGCTGGTGACGCCCACATCGGTGTCAGAGATGCTCGGATGGCAGTACAACAGCCTCCCCATGCTGCAGCTTGTGGTGCCTCTCTCTATCACCCATCCATTCATGAGTCATGAGTCATGCATGTTTGCACGCCCCTTGTCACCCTCTCAGGTCCCTGCCTGATCTGCTGCTGGTCACATCCACATCAGTATCGGAGATGCTCGGTTGGCAGTATGACAGTCTTCTCATGCTGCCGCTCACGTGCATTGCTTCTGACGGCCGCATTGCCTTTGTGAGTTAATCCAGCCGTCTGATAGTGCATTGCATTGTGAGTTCTCTGTGCTTGTGAGTTGTTTGAATGCTCCAATTCAGGCAACCCTCATGCTGCCTCTGACGGCCGCATTGCCTTTGTGAGTTCCTTTGGCTGTCTGCTGGTGCTTTCAATCCTTGGTTCTCTGTGCTTTCAATCCTTGGTTCTCTGTGCTTTGAATCCTTGGTTCTCTGTGCTTTCAATCCTTGGTTCTCTGTGCTTTCAATCCTTGGTTCTCTGTGCTTTCAATCCTTGGTTCTCTGTGAGTTGTGTGAATTCCAAGCTTATAAGGTTTTATACCATTTTCAAAGCGCCACAAATGCTCTGTTGCTTCAATAGTTCTCTCCGTAACAATTTTCCCCATTTTACAACTCTCCTCGCCCTGCCTTCCCACCCCTGCTCTTCTCCCTCCGCCTTCCTCTCCTCCTTTCCCTGCACACTCCAGCTGGATGGAGAGACGGAGATGGTGCGCTTTTCTCTCTGTGCACGCAGTGCCCCTTTCCCAATCTGTTATACTCTCCCCTGCCCTCTCTCCTCTTGCCCCTCCCACCAGCTGGATGGAGAGATGGAGATGGTGCGCTTTTCTCTCTGTGCACGCAGTGCCCCTTTCCCAATCTGTTATACTCTCCCCTGCCCTCTCTCCTCTTGCCCCTCCCACCAGCTGGATGGAGAGATGGAGATGGTGCGCTTTTCTCTCTGTGCACGCAGTGCCCCTTTCCCAATCTGTTATACTCTCCCCTGCCCTCTCTCCTCTTGCCCCTCCCACCAGCTGGATGGAGAGATGGAGATGGTGCGCTTTTCTCTCTGTGCACGCAGTGCCCCTTTCCCAATCTGTTATACTCTCGCCTGCCCTCTCTCCTCTTGCCCCTCCCACCAGCTGGATGGAGAGATGGAGATGGTGCGCTTTTCTCTCTGTGCACGCAGTGCCCCTTTCCCAATCTGTTATACTCTCCCCTGCCCTCTCTCCTCTTGCCCCTCCCACCAGCTGGATGGAGAGACGGAGATGGTCCGCCTCTCTCTCTTTGCGCGAGAAAACGCCATCGGGTGAGTCTCGTCGGGAACCTTTTCTCCTCCTCTTCCGTCCTCTTCCCAATATTGGAGACTTTTGCGAACCCTCAAAATGGACCAAAAGATGTTAAAAATGGCGTGTTGAATGCAACCTGCTAACAGTGGCTTCGCCTGCTGTGCTCCCTTCTGTTTTGCTCCCTTCTACTTTGCTCCCGTTCTGCCCTCCTCACATTCGTCCCCTCCCCGATCCCCTCTCCCTTCCCCATATCTCCCCCTCCCCCCTCTTTCCCTTCTCCCCATCAGCCTGCCTCACTCGCTCTCGCGCCTCGTCGACCCATCCATCCGAGCCTCCATCCCCCCTCCCCCACTCGCAACCTCCTTCAACACCACTACCACCACTACCACCACTACCACTTCTGCTGCTGCTGCTGCTGCTGCTGCCGCCGCCGTTGCTGCTTCTGGTGCTATTACTGCGGTTTCATCGGATGGGGTGGGTGTGGAGGGGTCTCCAAGGCACGAGGAGTCACCCAGTCAAGGGGGAGGGGATGCGCTGCGGGCTGTGAGGAGCGAGGGTTTCTTGCAACCAGGGGAAGGTGCCGCTGCGTCCGGCTCGCCCTCCTCCTTCCTCCGAGGCAGCAAGGTACACTCGAAGCGGCTTTTGATTCGACTCACAGGTGTCCTAGTTAGGGACCAGGGGGCGGGGACGCACTGCTTTTGAGGCGCCTTAAAAGGAGTCAAAAGTTTTGAGGCGCCTCAAAAGGATGCACTGTGTCCTGTGAGGAGGGCTTCACTCAGCCAGGGGATGGCGCTTCTGCGTCTGGCTTGCGCTCCTCCTTCCTCCGAGGCACCAAGGTGCACTTGAAGTGCTACCCTCCAAGGTGAGCTACCCTTTTACAGCAAAAGGACACCCCCCTGGGTGCAGCCAGTTGTTGCTACCCATCCCTCCTCACACTCCCCCCCTCCTCTCTTTGCCTCTTCTTTTTCCTCTTCAACTCCTCATTCCCTTCCTCTCTCTCTTTCTCTCTCTCCGTCTAACCAGGTTCTCCGCAGCAGTGCCACCTTCAAGCTCCTTCAGAGCTCCCCCAAAGTGCAGCCCACCGCTCTGCACCCAGCTGCAGACCTCCTTCCGCTCTTTGCCTCTGCACCCTTTGCCCCCCCTGCCCCTGCGGCGGACGGGGAGGAGGGGGAGGGGGAGACGGAGGAGGAGAAGAAGCAAACAGGAAGCTTCTCGGAAAGAGGTGAGTGTGTGGAGATGTGATGTGGGAGGGGAGGTAAGATGGTTGAGACTCGAGGGGAATCAGACCTCACATAGACTGGTTTCTTCGTCGTGCTTGCCCTCCTATTCTCCCGCACTTGCCCTCCTATTCTCCCGCACTTGCCCTCCTATTCTCCCGCACTTGACCTCCTATTCTCCCGCACTTGACCTCCTGTTCTCCCTCACTTGCCCTCCTATTCTCCCTCACTTGACCTCCTATTCTCCCGCACTTGACCTCCTGTTCTCCCTCACTTGCCCTCCTATTCTCCCTCACTTGACCTCCTATTCTCCCTCACTTGCGCTCCTATCTCCCTCACTTGCCCTCCTATTCTCCCGCACTTGCCCTCCTATTCTCCCTCACTTGCGCTCCTATTCTCCCTCACTTGCCCTCCTATTCTCCCTCACTTGCCCTCCTATTCTCCCGCACTTGCCCTCCTATTCTCCCGCACTTGCCCTCCTATTCTCCCGCACTTGCCCTCCTATTCTCCCGCACTTGCCCTCCTATTCTCCTGCACTTGCCCTCCTATTCTCCCGCACTTGCCCTCCTATTCTCCCTCACTTGACCTCCTATTCTCCCTCACTTGACCTCTTATTCTCCCTCACTTGACCTCCTATTCTTCCTCACTTGCCCTCCTATTCTCCCGCACTTGCCCTCCTATTCTCCCTCATTTGCGCTCCTATTCTCCCTCACTTGCCCTCCTATTCTCCCGCACTTGCCCTCCTATTCTCCCGCACTTGCCCTCCTATTCTCCCGCACTTGCCCTCCTATTCTCCCGCACTTGCCCTCCTATTCTCCCGCACTTGCCCTCCTATTTTCCCTCACTTGACCTCCTATTCTCCCTCACTTGACCTCCTATTCTCCCTCACTTGCCCTCCTATTCTCCCGCACTTGCCCTCCTATTCTCCCGCACTTGACCTCCTGTTCTCCCTCACTTGCCCTCCTATTCTCCCTCACTTGACCTCCTATTCCCCCTCACTTGCGCTTCTATCTCCCTCACTTGCCCTCCTATTCTTCCACACTTGCCCTCCTATTCTCCCTCACTTGCGCTCCTATTCTCCCTCACTTGCCCTCCTATTCTCCCGCACTTGCCCTCCTATTCTCCCGCACTTGCCCTCCTATTCTCCTGCACTTGCCCTCCTATTCTCCCGCACTTGCCCTCCTATTCTCCCTCACTTGACCTCCTATTCTCCCTCACTTGACCTCCTATTCTCCCGCACTTGACCTCCTGTTCTCCCTCACTTGCCCTCCTATTCTCCCTCACTTGACCTCCTATTCTCCCTCACTTGACCTCTTATTCTCCCTCACTTGACCTCCTATTCTTCCTCACTTGCCCTCCTATTCTCCCGCACTTGCCCTCCTATTCTCCCTCATTTGCGCTCCTATTCTCCCTCACTTGCCCTCCTATTCTCCCGCACTTGCCCTCCTATTCTCCCGCACTTGCCCTCCTATTCTCCCGCACTTGCCCTCCTATTCTCCCGCACTTGCCCTCCTATTCTCCTGCACTTGCCCTCCTATTCTCCCGCACTTGCCCTCCTATTCTCCCTCACTTGACCTCCTATTCTCCCTCACTTGACCTCTTATTCTCCCTCACTTGACCTCCTATTCTTCCTCACTTGCCCTCCTATTCTCCCGCACTTGCCCTCCTATTCTCCCTCATTTGCGCTCCTATTCTCCCTCACTTGCCCTCCTATTCTCCCGCACTTGCCCTCCTATTCTCCCGCACTTGCCCTCCTATTCTCCCGCACTTGCCCTCCTATTCTCCCGCACTTGCCCTCCTATTCTCCCGCACTTGCCCTCCTATTTTCCCTCACTTGACCTCCTATTCTCCCTCACTTGACCTCCTATTCTCCCTCACTTGCCCTCCTATTCTCCCGCACTTGCCCTCCTATTCTCCCGCACTTGACCTCCTGTTCTCCCTCACTTGCCCTCCTATTCTCCCTCACTTGACCTCCTATTCTCCCTCACTTGCGCTCCTATCTCCCTCACTTGCCCTCCTATTCTTCCACACTTGCCCTCCTATTCTCCCTCACTTGCGCTCCTATTCTCCCTCACTTGCCCTCCTATTCTCCCGCACTTGCCCTCCTATTCTCCCGCACTTGCCCTCCTATTCTCCTGCACTTGCCCTCCTATTCTCCCGCACTTGCCCTCCTATTCTCCCTCACTTGACCTCCTATTCTCCCTCACTTGACCTCCTATTCTCCCTCACTTGACCTCCTATTCTCCCTCACTTGACTTGACCTCTTATTCTCCCTCACTTGACCTCCTATTCTCCCTCACTTGCCCTCCTATTCTCCCTCACTTGCCCTCCTATTCTCCCTCACTTGACCTCCTATTCTCCCTCACTTGCCCTCCTATTCTCCCTCACTTGCGCTCCTATTCTCCCTCTCTCTTGCACTCCACCCACTACCCTCCTTCCTGCCCCCCTCCACCCCGCTCCAGAGAACCTGTCCTCATGCCTGACTTTACACCACTCCCTCTCTTCCCCCCCCCCCCCTCCCCCCCCTTGACCCTCGACCCTTCTCCTGCCCATTGCCCCTCGCTCCAGAGAAGTGGACCTCATGCTTGAAACCACTCCCTCTCTTTTCCCCCTACACTCTCTCCCTCTCTCTGTCCCTCTCTTCCTCTGTTGCCTTGCTGCTCTCCCTCACTCTTGCCCTCGACCCTTCGCTCCAGAGAAAGTGATTTTTGAGATGCCTCTAAAACTGTTTCCCCGCTCACCCTCCCTCCTGCCCTCCACCCCTCCCCACTGAGAAACCAGACCTTATGCTCGACTCCTCTGACCAGACCTTATGATTGACACTGCGTTCTCTCTTGTTTGCCGCCCTTCACCCGTCTCCCTCCCCCTCCCTACAGAGAAACCAGACCTCATGCTCGACACCTCTGTCGCCTGTGACAGCCCGACCACACCGGATGGCACCGTCACCACGCCGCACCCTGCTGCTGCTGGCAAGAAGAGTCTCTTTGGCTTCCACCGCACCAACTCCAAAGGTACAGCTGGCTTTGGCTTTTGAGTCGACTCAAAAGGCACCTCACCCAGCTGCTGTTGGCATGGGCGGCACGAAGGGTCTATTTGGCTTCCACCGCACCAATTCCCGAGGTACACTTGTTCTCACATTTGTACAGTGAAAAAAGTCATTTATGATGCATTCATAAACCCATGTTATTTTTGCATTCATACAGTACCGTTATCATGCATACACTAGAGGAAACCCCGGTTTTGAGGCGTCTCCAAACCCTCTCCCCTTTGTCCCCTCCCTCCCTCCCCCCTCTTCCCCTTCTCCCCCATCCCCCCCCCCCCCCCTTCTCTCGCCCACGCCACCCACCACGACACCAGGTCGCAGCAAGGAGAGTGAGGGCGCGTTCGGACCAGGGGCGGTGCATGCAGCTACTCCTCGACCCAAGTCAACGGAGGAGATTCGAGGGGGGTTTGGAACGCGCCGTCAGCAGCAGGTGAGAGACGGATAGGAGAGGGGAATTTTATGCGCATACGTGGTTTGCTAAAGGCGTTTGCTTCGGCTGGACACACCGTGATTGATGGTGTTTTATTTCTCATGTTGTCTGTTGGTTTTGTGGCGTTTCTATCTTGCAGGCTGAGGAGAGTCAATAAAGGTATAATTATTGAAATCACGAAAATCACTGTGGTTGCATATCGTCCTGGTCGAGCAATAGAAAGAGGCCGTTGCATTGGCATGCTATGGCCCAGCTAACAGTCTCCTATCCTAATATGGTGCTGAGGCTCCACTCCTTAGCTGGTTATGTGAAGCCAAACACCATACGATACAGCACTCGTTCCTGCACTGTCCTAGCTTAGCTACTAGCAAATATGGTTTTCAGGCTACACATGTTCTAAGTATGTTTGAGTATTGCCCAGTTGCTAAGTAAAAATATCTAGTTACCGGGTGCATGTGCTTGCTACGGACTTGGTCATCACAAATCCATGCGGATCGCACTCGGTACTACGAATGCTTGTTCAATCACATATTCGGGTGGAGAAAAGCGCGCGAGTCGTTCTAGATAGGACAAGCACGGCGAAGATGGAGCGATCTAGTCCAGGTACATTTCTTTCGCACACACGCTTCGAGACAATATCGATGAGGCGCTTCATTTCAGGATTTTGCTTGACGATCAGGGCGAATGGAACTAGGAAGGGAGATTCTAACGAGGGGTCACACTCGGGCCAGCTGGGGGACGGCAGCTGCGGGGAAAAGAGGTGGAGAGGGACCTGATCGGTGGGGGAGCTTTGGTGGCGGTTACAGCTGGCTGGCAGTGGCGGTGGTGAGGAAAAAGGCTGGGGGAGTGTGGGGGGAATGGCGGCGGGGGCAAGAGAAAGGCCTAGGGGTAGGGGGGCGAATAATGGAAATTGGGGAAGGAGGGGGAAGAAGCGGAGGTGCGCTGCACTGCAGTCGAGCGCTCCCAGGTTCTCGCTTGATTTTCTTGGTTTTCCTCCGCGCTTGGCGTGGTTCCACCCACAGAGACCTCCATTTCCTGCATTCAACCCAACACCTAGCCTAGGTTATCTGTTTTCTCTTTCTTTATTTTCTCCAGGCAAATTTGCCCCACGCTCAGTTTTTCCTCGAGAATCCCAACGACCCGCGTCACGTAGTTTTCTTAGCCACGCCACGCCACACACACCGCTCGGTAGCTCTCTCGGTTTCTCCGCCTCGCCGCGACTCATGAAGCGAAACACGCTGATCGCGACGTCAGTCGCGATTATCTTTTTTTGCTAGGTAGGCTGTATTGGCGCACCCCCCCCACGTGGTTCAAGGTCAAGGGTAGCACTTGAGCTTTTGCCTGGCTCGTGCAGGTTTGAGCAGAGCAGAAGCCTGGCAGTGCTGTCGCATCACACGGACCAAATCAATCAATCCACCTAGGTCTTGGCTCGTTTACTTGTGTGTTTCTTCGTTCGTAGGCATTTCGCCTTTCCCCTTCACTGGTGTGTTTCTTTCGCATTTCGCTGGTGTGTTTAGCGGTTCAGCCAACGTCTTGTTCTAAAAAAAAAGCCCCTGAATGCATTAGCTATCATCCTGTCGCAACTAAAACACTTCGCTCAGCAAACGGTCGTTCTCCCACTCCCCTCCGTTCTTACCACGATTTAGACGCCCGTTTAAAACATTCTCAAGCTCGTGTCGCCGATTTGCAGACAGACCGTTATGGCCGACGCTTTTTGAGATATCTCGCAGTAACCTAGCTTAAGCCGAAGTATTACCAGGTCCGACATCCCGCTTCTGCTCTCCGGAATCTTAACGTGTCGCCCACTCGTTTGCCCAAATCCTCTAGCATCTGGCCATTCTCAGCCGTTACCTCTCCCCATCCGCACGTATCCCGGCCCAGCGAGTTTTTTTCAGCAGCAAATATCTAGACCTCTCAAACAGCAGCGGCAATCATGCGCCGCGCCAGAAGGCCGCAGGGGCCGGTGCTCGCTATTGCACCGCTCGTTACCGCGTCAGTTCTCCTGCTTCTGATCGGGGCGTCTGTCTCTTTCGCGTCCGTGCATCGCGCGAGTGAAGGATCGAGCGACGGAGGTACGCTTCGCACCTTTTTATAAATAAGGCAGAAAAAAGTAGGACCGATTTCTTCTGCTGTTCCGGCCCTGTTGGATAATTTTTCGTCACTTCCTCCCCTCCCCCTTCTCCCTTCCTCTCCCTTCACCCTCTTCTCCCCCGAAACACCCCTCTTCTCACTTAACACACCGCCCCCGCCCCCCCTTCTCTCCCGATTTCCCCCCCCTCCTCCCCCTGTCGCGCCTCTCTTAATCACGTAACCCATCCCTTTCGTCCCCCCAGGTGCTCCAACTGTTCGTCGTAGATCCATGGCCGCTGCTACTCTGGGATCACCGTGCCGCTTTGGCGGAAACATCATGCCTATTGACTGCAGCCCGGGCCTCAAATGCCAGCCTGGCAGCTCCACTGCTGTCGCCTCCGAACCTGCTTCCGAGCCTAATCCGAACCAGCTCGGCAGGCCCAGAAACTCGCAGGGTCTGACCCACAACCCTGACTTCGCCACTACGGGCACGTGCGTTCCTGACGGCTCGTCCACGTCATCCCCGTCCCCATCCACATCATCTTCAGCCAACGATACGTCACCACTCTCGCATAATCCATCAACCCCCGTCCCTCCCTCCTCAGGCTCTACCTCTACGCCTCGCCTCGGCCCGAGGCCCTTAGAAAAGCCCACCACGTGTCAGTACATGTGCGCACACGGGCAGTATCATGGGGAAATGCCGTGCCCGAGAGGGTATACCTGCGTTCTCGCTCTAGAGGGAGGCATGCACTTATCGCCAGAGGCTCTACAAGCTTTGGCTGATGCCTCCGCTGAGGTTCCTGCTACCACTGACTGCAGTAACAGCAGCGACAGCACCATTAGCAATGCTATATCGCCCCTGGGCGTTGTGAGCAATGGCAGCAATGCTGAATTTATCAAGTCAGCAGGTGCTGTCATTCCCTACGAAGGGATCTGCGCCCCGAGCCACTGGTTCGGCCTGAACGTCTCGCTGGACCTCCTCTCAGCACCATCGTCCACAATGTCCACCAAGGCTGTCACGAGAGGCTCGGGGTCTTTGCCTGCTGCCGAACCTGTGGCCGGGGAGGCTGGGAGCAACTGCTCGTTCGGCGGGGATAGTGCTGCCGTGCTGTGCAATCAGGGGTATTCTTGTCTGGTGGAGGCTGAGAAACGCACGGTGCATCACCCACAGGTGTTTGGTGTGTGTGTGAGTGCGGAACTTTGTGATCCATACCTAGAGGAAAAGATTGAGGATGCAGCTGGGACTGGCAGCTCAGGGAAATCTGCAGGTGCCCGGACGAGGCTGCCAGGTCTGGGAGGATCTAGGCTTGGAATTGCTGTACTCCTTTTTGCATCCCTCTTTTTCCTGTAAAGGGCTTCCTGGGTCCCCTCGTGCCTTAATGAGGTGAAGGCTGATGGTGCCATCTAGAGTTGTCATTTAGTTGAATTTGGTTTGACCCTGCTAGCTAGGCTGCTGCTTTATGCTGTCGTCTACTTGATATTGCCTCAGTAGCTGCTCTCGAGTTGTAGCGCTGTTATGATTGTACCCTAGGTGGTATGCTATTGTTATCTAAACCTTAGATCTGTTGTACCATTGTTGGAAAACAAGGAGTTGGTAGTACCGGTTACAGAAACAAAGCCTAGGATGCTCAAGTGCCTAGCGTCTACCGTATTAGTGTATCAACTAAACACTCACCAAGGTCATTACTCGTATTGGTGTGCTCTTAGCAAACCATGAGAATCTAGCAAGCAGCTGAGCCTTTCTAATCTACACTGATAACAAGGAACACTATACCATCTAGTGTGCCTAAGCAGCTTCTATCAGGTTCCTATTCTGCTTCCGTTCTGCACTTATCCAGCGACCCTTCAAGTGTAGGTGATACGGTATCGTCTCTTTTGTGCTCCTCCTCGCCCCATCCGTGCCCATCTCATGATTCACAAACTCTTTAAATGTCCTGATCCTCCTTCCCAACAGCTCCCTCCACTGCTGTCCCCCTCAACCCCTCTGCTGCTGCAACCCTCTCGCTCTCACTCTCCCCCACCCCCCTTGCACCCGTTCCACCTCTTCCTCCCCTCCTTCCTTCTTCCTTCCTTCTTCCCTTACTTCCCCCTCTCCCCCTTCCTCTCCCTCAGAAGCTTCGCCCCTTTGCTTCCGTAACCTCTCCACTTCCCTTTCAGCCTCTTCCCTCAGTCTCAGAGCTTCTTCTGCCCGTTTCTCTGCCCGGGCAGCCCTTTGTTCTGCTTCACCTGCCCGCTCTTCAGCTGCCCGCATCCTCCCAGTCAGCTCATCCGCCTCACCAACCAGCGACTCTGCCCGGGCAACTTCCTCCGATAGCCTAAACTCCGCCAGGGATACCCTGTCTCTAGCCCCCTCAATCTCAACCTCTAAATCCGCACACCTCAGCCTCATCTCCTCCAGCTCAGCTTGCAGACGTGTCACAAGGTGATTGGCCCTATTTTCCACGTCTGCCACCTCAGCTTTGGCTAATTCCACCTGTCCATCTGCTTGTAACGCCTGAGCCCTCAGTCCCGCCGCGTTTTCCTCTGCTTCTTGAAGCTTCCACGAAAGCAGCTCCCTCTCCTGTTTCTCCACCTCCAATTCTTTCCTCAGCTGCCCAGAAATTTCTTCAGTTGCCCGCAACTTCTCTTCCAGGGAATTTACCCTCTCCCGGGCAGATTTCGCCTCACGCCTCTCATCCGTTGCGCGCTTTTCCGCCTCCGCCGCTGCCAGCTCAGCTTCCTCCTTCAGCTTCCGCGACTCCCGCGCGTCCCGAAGCGCTCTATCAATCTTGGATTCTAACGAGTGGTTACGCGTAACGGCCGCCTGTAGCTGCGTCTGTAGCTCATTCACCATGTCCACTTGCGGAGGAGACGCCGGCGCTGGAGGCCGACCCTCCGATTCTGGTTCGGCATGCGATCGCAGCTCCGGGACGTCCGAGCCTGTTGATGGAGGTTCGGCAGCGTTGCGGGAAGTGACGTGGGGCTGCGCAGACGCGATGCTGTCCGAACCGCCTTTCTTCCGCCACCGAGACAGCATCCTAACGGACTCTAGGCTAGCTCCTTGAAATATGTGCGAGGTCGCTTTAAAGTCGACTCAAACGTTCAGCCTGAATTCCCGAGACATATAAAGGCCTTGTGGGAAGCGAGAATTGGTCGGAACTAAACTTGAGGTTGAACATCAACAAGAGGTCCAAACGACCAGCCAATCTCCAGTCCAGGTAGCCACGACAACTGAACGGCAAGCCGTGTTACAGAAATCGATGCCTCTAAGATAATGATAGTGCATACCAAGAATACTCGAAGCCAGGCAATGCAGACGAGGAGAAGGAAGAAAAGGAGGGAGTGCTCCAAGACTACGATAGGAAAAAATCGTGATGCGAGTTCTAGCCCGTTATGACAAGGTGTGATGTTGCTCGGTGTTACGGGTGCAATCAATCGAAGTAGCGAGAATTGCACTAAGGTGTCAAATGAGTACCAAATGTGAGGCATGAGCGAACATTTATACGTGTTACGAGTGCAATTGAGTGAACGAACGAGAATCGCACTGTCGAAGCAAGAGTGCAATGAGCGGAGGTATGAGCGAAGAATATATTGCGAAACTACAGTGGTAACGGTAATGGACTGTGGTTGTCGCGCGACGGGCCTGGGACTGAGGTTGGGAAAAGTGTCGAAGCGGAGGCCCGGGGCGCGGGTTACCCGCCGAGCCGTGAGGTCGGGGTGTGATGTGCGAAGGTGGCGGGCGGATTGTCGATGCGAGGGTTGCGAGTGGTAACGGTGTTGACTGTGGTGCTACAGTGATGTACGCGTTGAGCAGGGATGCGAAGTAAGGAAAAGGAAATTTCCTTACACTACCCCCCCCCCCCCTAAGGAGGTCCTCCTTACGAAAGTGCGTGTACATCCCTGAAATTTCGACTGCGCAGATACTCGGTGAGGACGGGGTGGTTTTCGATTCTGTCCAGGGGAACCCAATTGTCTTCGGTGGGTGTACGATCCTTCCAGCGGAGTAAGAACTCGATCCTTCGGGCTCCTCGAGGGTCACGAACTCTGTGACTCAGGATTTTCTCGGGGGTGATGATTGGTTCAGTTGGTGGTCTTGTCATGCTGGCTGGGCGATTCCGTGGCAGTTGGCTCGTGGACGGGACGTAAGGGCGAAGTAGGCTGACGTGGAATGAAGGGCTGACGTACCAGTCAGCAGGGAGGAGGAGGTGGGCCGTGACGGGTGTAAGCATGTGGCTTATGTTAAATGGCCCGCAGTATCGGGGGCGGAGTTTCGGGGTGATAGGCAGTAGGAGGTTCAGAGTGTCAAGTAAACCAAAGTCGTCGGGCTGGTAAGTGACAGATCTGCGGTGGCGGTCGGCGTTGCATTTAGCGATGATGCTCGAATTTTTTATTGCGTCTGCTGCCCGGGTCTGTGCCGCTTGTAATATTTTGGCGAACTGTTGTGCTCGTGGTACTGGGTTGTCGGGATTCGGGGTCATGGGTACTGTCGGGTCTTGTCCGTAGTTTAGGTAAAATGGTGACTGTTGGGTCGTGGCGGATGGCGAGTTGTTGTACGCGAATTCGATTAGTGACAGTTGCTGTTCCCACGTGGTCGGGTCGTCACACGTGGCCCTGATGAGTTGTTCCATGGTCTGATTTGTCCATTCTGTCTGTCCGTCAGTTTCGGGGTGGTATGATGAACTGAACTGCAGTCGCGTGCCGAACTGCTGCCACAGGTTCCGCCAGAAGTTGCTGGTGAATTTCGTGTCGCGGTCGCTGATGATCGCGGCTCGTATCCCGTGCAGTCGAACGACGGTGGAGATGAAGAGGCGTGCTGTTTCTTCGGCTGTGATTGATTCTTTGCAGGCTGCGAAATGTGCCATTTTCGTCAGTCGATCGACGACGACCAGGATCGCGTCGTTCCCACTCGCCCCGGCTGGTAACCCCGTGACGAAGTCCATCGTCACCTGCTGCCAAGCACGCTCTGGGGGTGGTATCGGCTGCAACTGTCCCGCCGGCCGCTGTCGTGATGATTTCATGAGCTGACAAGTGGGACACGATGCCACGTGTCGTTGTACGTCGGTCAACATTTCGGGCCAGTAATAATACCGCTGCAGCTGCTGCCGTGTTTTTTCTACTCCAAAATGCCCCGAGGTAACTCCGTCGTGTGCCTCCTGTAACAGTAATTCCCGTAGCAGTGTATACCCAGGCACCCAAATGCGGTCAGTCCCGGTTTTTACGTAATAGACTCCCTTTGCTGCTGCGAACTGTTGCGAATTTCCCCCTGTGAAGAATGGATCCGTTTGGTACCCATGGGTGAATAGGCCTGTCAGTAGCGGGCTTGTCTGGGCAAGTAGTATTGCGTGGATCTGTCCGAATCCCAACCACTAGACCATTGGGATAAAAGGGCTTATTTCAGTAGCGGGTTAGTGCGCCCATAACCCCCCAGGCGAACGCGCCTGTAACCCTCTCCAGGATCAATCGTGTGAAGAATGAAACGAGGATGATTCAACTATGAAAGAGTTGGGTACAAGTTCTAACCCTAATTGGGTTGTACCCCATATGAGCTACCCCACTACAGCCTACACAAATGTATAAGCTATATGTTCTGACACACCTCCATAGGCAAAGTGGGGGAGAACAAGGGGTCACAAGACCAGTCAAGCAAAGCAAAGCAAAGCAAGCCCAGGGTGGATCACAAAGTCACCACACATTCCGAGCACAAGTTCAAGGCAATAAGGCCAGTTCACATGCATGATTACATATATATATATATAAGGCTAGACAAGCAAGAGCAGGTATATATATATGTAACAGTACAAACAAGGTCAAGGGGTGAGCAAGTGAGGCAAGAAAGGGACAAGACCCAGCTGAGTGCAGAAGCGCTGATGATCACAAGGCGGAAGTGCCTTGGTGAAAAAATCAACAGTGTTGGCCTCAGAGGCCACGTACGCAAGCCGCAACTGACCACGCTGCTGTAGCTCACGAGCAAGGAAGTAGCGGAGAGCAATGTGCTTTGTTCTGTGCTCCAGTCTCTGCTCTCGACACAAGGCCAGCATGGCCTTGTTGTCTACGTACAGGACTGGAGGAGAACGAGGCAGCTCTCCAAGGTCGGTCAGCAGGTAGGTGAACCAGCGAAGCTCCTGTGCAGCCATGGCCCCGGCGTAGATCTCAGCCTCACAACTGGAGCTGAGAACAGAAGACGAGCGAGTAGCCCGCCACGAAACAGAGCCAGAACCAAGGCTGAAGGTGTAACCCTGGGACGACTGCTGCGTAGCCTGGTCGTCTGCCCAAGAAGCGTCTGCGTGCCCAGTGAGGACCACTGGACTCCGCCCTCCAAGCACTAGCCCCATGCCCGACGTACTGCACAAGTAGCGCAACACCCTCTTCGCTGCAGCCATGTGCTCTGGTCGGTGTCTCCCAGGAGCAACATAGCGTGCAAGAATGCTAAGAGGGTATGCAAGGTCAGGTCGTGTGCAAGTCATCAGGTACATGAGGCAGCCAACAAGCTCTGGATACGGGCCACTCGACTCTACGGACTCATCCGAAGGCAGAGCTGAGAGCGAGTGGCGAGTAGGCAGAGGAGTGGCCTGAGGCGAGGAGTACGTGAAGCCGAAGCGCAGAAGGACCTGCTGCACCATGTGTGACTGAGTCAGGGTAATGGTGCGGCGTGCTCTGTCCCGGGTGATCTGCAAGCCAAGGTAGCTGCGCAGTTCACCCAGGTCAGTGCACGTGTGTCGCTTCTGCAGCTCGGACTTCACGTAGGCGAGTCCAGCAGTGTCAGTTGTGGCAAAGACCAAGTCGTCGACGTACACGAGGATGTAGAACGGCGGCAGAGAGGTGTCGGTGCGCAGAAACAGCGACGGGTCGGCAGTAGAAGGAGCAAACCCAAGAGCCGCAAGCGTAGTCCTCAGTGTGTCGTGCCACTCACGTGGCGCCTGGCGGAGACCGTAGACTGGACGCCGGAGACTCCACTGGGTACCAGGAGGGAAAGACCCAGTGAAGCCAGGTGGGCGGCGCAGCCAGATCTCCTCGTGCAGGCTGCCCTGCAAGAAAGCTGTGGTGAAGTCGAGAGAGTGCAGCTCGTAGTCACGGTGAGCAGCAACGTGCAGCAGTACCCGAAGAGTGGTCATCTTCGGGGTGGGGGAGAAGGTCTGAAAGTAGTCAACTCCCTGCCGCTGACTGAAGCCACGAGCCACGTAACGCGCCTTGAAGACAGGCGGAGAACCCGGCGTCCGCTTCACCCTGAAAATCCACATGCCACTGACAATGTTCGCCCCAGGAGGGGGGACAGCGTCAACGTAGGTGCCTATGGACTTCCAGGAAGCCATCTCTGCATCCATAGCTGCCTGCCACTGAGAGGAGTAGGGACCCTCTATCGCCTCCGCGTAAGAGCGCGGAGTCGGGATGTCAAGTGCATCCGGGTCTCCCTCAGGGGTAAGCAGTACGGATACGAGATGAGGTGAAGCAGCTGCCAGGCACTGGAACTCCTCCTGCCTGTCCTCAAGGACGTCCGTGCCAAGGGCACACTCACCCCCGACGGACGGAGGACAAACAGACTCAGACTCAGCGACAAGACTAGCAGCGTAGTCTAGGCGACAGCGAGCAGCAAAGTCGACGAGCTCAGCAACTAGGGCAGACGCAGAAGTGGACTCGAAAGAAGGGTCAGTGACGGCAGTAGCCAGGAGACGCGTGACAGTAGGACTGGCAGCACGAAGAGAGTCCGACTCCGGGTCGGCAAGAGCAAGAAGAGAGGACTCAGGAGGAGAAGGCAAAGGGGCACGCAGAGGAGCAGTGGACGGACGCAGAGACATCCTGTGCGTGCCAAAGACAGGAGGAGGACGCGGACGCGAACCACGACCACTAGCGCGAGCAGCACGGACAGGCGACGCAGGGCAAGACGCAGGCTCACGACGATCAGCAAGACCTCCAGTAGGACCAGTGTAGGGAGACGGAGCAGGCAGTGGGGAGGCCGGCTGTAACTATAACTGTGACAGGATAGGCTGTGGACACTCTAAGGGAGGAGGAGGACCAGTAGAAGGCGGGTTTAGGGTTGAAGGAGCGGAACGAAGTACGGCCGAGGCCGCGCGGCGACTCCAGACACAGCAGGGACAGCACCAGTACCCCCAGCGGCAGCACCAACACCAGCAGCACCTCCAGCTCCAGTACCTCCAGCAGTACCAGTAGCACCCTCAGCAAGACCGCCTTTAGGACCGACAGCAGTAGCCTCCGCGCCAGCACCCGAAGCAGCTCCCGCTCCAGAAGTACCCGCAGGCCCAGCAGCTCCAGTACTCCGAGTACGAGTAC